CCCAGTCCCCATCCCCAGTATCCCCCAGTCTCTCCCAGTTCCTCCCAATTCCCTCCCAGTTCCTCCCAATTCCCTCCCAGTTCCCCCCAGTCTATCCCAGTCCTCCCAGTCCCCCCGTCCCCTCCCAGTCCCCCCCAGTTCCCATCCCCAGTGTCCCCAGTCTCTCCCAGTCCCCAGCCCCAGTATCCCCCAGTCCATCCCAGTCCCCATCCCCAGTATCCCCCAGTCTCTCCCAGTCCCCATCCCCAGTATCCCCCAGTCTCTCCCAGTCCCCATCCCCAGTATCCCCCAGTCCATCCCAGTCTCTCCCAGTCCCTATCCCCAGTATCCCCCAGTCTCTCCCAGTGCATCCCAGTTCCCTCTCCCCAACACTCTCCATCCTCTCCCCACCCCACCCCCACCTCCCCCTCCCCATCCTCCCCCCACCCCCCCCCCACCTCCCAGTCCCTCCCAGTTCCCTCCCAGTCCCTCCCAGTCCCTCCCAGTTCCCCCCAGTTCCCCCCCTCACCTTCCTATCGATGCGCACGGTGAAGACGCGGCCGGGCCTCAGCGGCTCCCGGCTCAGCACCAGCCCGTGGTTGAACTCCTGGCCCGGCTGTGCCCTGGCGGCGCTGCGCCCGCCCTGGGACAGCGACACGAGGCGTCCGCAGCGCGGGTGCAGCTCCGGGGGCGGCCCCGGGGCTCCCCCCGAGGCTCCCCCCGAGGAGCCCCCGCCGGGCCCCGGCGCCGCCATCGCTCCGCGCCCGCCCCGGCCCGCCCCGCCCACCGCGCCGCCTTTCGCGACCTTTTCGCGACTCTTTCCGCCGCCACGGCGGAGCGCCGGGAATTCGGTTTGGAGCTCTCTCTTTCCGCCGCGTCCCACCGGAAGAACCTTTCCTCATCGCCCTCCCCCTCTCCCGCTCCCTCTTGTGCCTCCCCCGCCTTTCTTGTCCTCCCTCACCCCGCCGGAGTTTTTCCCTTCCCCATTTTCGCTCCGGCAGCGCTTTACGGCAGCCCCCTCAGAGCCCCTTCCTCGCTTTACGGCGGCGCGGCGGGCGCGCCCCTCACGCCCCTTCCTCGCTTTACGGCTGGCGCCCCGGCAACGGTTGCCATGGGGACGGGCCCTGCCTGGCAACGGCGCTCATTAAGGAGCAGCGTTAATTACGGGCCGCGGGTAATTAGCGCCGGGGGGGGCTCCAGGGGAGGGAAATAAAGCGGCAGCGAGGTGCTGACTGCTGGTACCGCGCGGTGGATGCGGTGTCGTGTTGTTGTTGGGGGTAATTAGCGGTAATTTGGGGGTAATTAGCAGTTAATTAATTAGAGGCAGAGGAAGCGATGCTGTCAGGGTCTGTCCTGAGCAGAGTTGGGTTGATATTAATATTCATTAGGGTAATTAGGGGCATAATGGTGCTGCCCCCCCTCACAAAATTCCCGCCGAAATTTCCCTCCCAAATCCCAAATTTCCTAAAAATCGCCCCCAAATTCCCCTCAAATCCCTCCAAAATTCCAAAATTTCCCCCCAAAACCCCCTCCCGTTTCCACAACCCCCTCAGATCTCCCCAAAATTCCCTCAATTCCCCCAAATTCTCCTTTAAATCGCCCCCAAATCCCCCCTAAATTCACCTCAATTCCTCCCTCGAACCCCCAAATCCCCCAAAAATCCC